TATTTTTATTGTTTTTCTAATTTCTTACAAGTGGTGATCAGCCAATATTTGGTCCAAATCCAACCTTTTAATAACTAATGATTCCCCAAATTCCATGATTGTACAACATCATTAGTTTTATATTGAAAACTCTTTAAATCCTGTCTTATTGAGATTYTTAAAATCACTTTATAGGACTTTTTAATTTTAAATTGTAATCATTGCTAGCTATCTATTGTGTTTATATCTTAGCATGAAGTGAAACAGTTGTACTTTAGGGTACGTATTAGGCAGGGAGGCTGGGGAGAGAGCAGCTAAAGCAAGTGAGATAGTCTAAGAGAGGAAAGCATGTATCCTCCTTCTGAATAATAACAGGGCCACGAGAATCAGAATATGGCGACCAGTTTGAATATTATTGTTCTGGACTGAATAGCGCCTATTATACATGTGAAAACCCTTTTATGTTTCCATGTGAACAAGAGGCTTAGTAAGTGCAGAACAATAGTTATTCAAATTCTATCAGTGTATAAGTGTGCAAGGTTTAAAAAAAATTGGACCACTCTACCCCCTCCACTCTTTCAAGCCAATGGAAGAGGCTTYTGTGTTAGTAGAAAACTCAATGCCTGTTTTTGTCAAAAGGTTGAGATAACTTGGGAGGCAGTTTGGKAGAAGGCATTTTTCAAACCATCTACAACTAGGTATCCCACTGTATATGCTACAAGAACCAATGTGGTAGTGACTAGTATTCAAAATGGATATTTTTTCATGTTGACACCATCCCAGGGAAAAGAGTTTTTGCCATACTATATGCTCTTATATTTTGTGCTTTTTTTTCTTTTCAGTTCTATACTAGTATTCTTGGTTTTCACCCACACGTCATCAAACATTTTGCCAGGATTTAAATAAAAACAAAACTTCCATATATATCTCAGCCAAAATTCTAGCTAAAAGAAGTTTTAGATATGAAGATATGAGGGATTAAATTTAGCTCCTTTTTTCTTGCAGCCAATTATCTTGTCTAGTATGTGTTTTTTTGTGGATTTTGGATGAAGCAACATTCACTTCCAGAGTCTCAACAATCTTGAGGAGGGATTCTATTATATGACTAGTTCCATCCTAAATTACTATACTTTGTACTAATATTATTATATTAACCAAGCTTAGTCTCCATCTGTCATCTGTAGGAACTGTGCATAAGCATCTCTTGTGTATTCCCCTTTAGAATTAAAAGCAAACTTATAGTAGCTACCATCAGCACAAATGGCTGCAAAAAATAAATGAATAAAAAGTTAGAACAATTATTAAATACTGGCATATTTGGGWTGTCTGACTGGTATTCAGTCTTCCAATTGAATTCCATTACTTTCATAAATTTTAGACATCTTGAGACTCAGATAGCCTGTAGTTCATGCTATCAGCGTTCATCCAAACAGAAAAAACTTGAAAGAACTCTTAATAGGATTATCCACCTCCCTTTGTAAAATCCTGTATCTGCCTAGTACATGCTTACTTTTTTAACTTTTCCATTTKAAATGTCCATGTTCCTAACAATCTGTTCTTTTAATTTTTTTCTAGTTATAAAACATTTTAGTTGAGGAAAAATATCACAAATGTGACACCAACAATTTCAAGTTTACTCTGACCAAAAATACTGAATCTTTTGAAAGAACTTCAAAAGCACCCATTCCAACYCAAGTTTTGAAATGAGAATTTAAAAAACTCACTAATAATTCATAAAGGAAACACAATAGAAATCATGACCGTGAAGGAGGTTTTATATCTGATATAGATTCGTCTTCATTTGCATAAACTTTAACTTGGATTTTCTCTATCAAACTTGGTTCAATTCGTAAAGAATTCGGTACAATATGAGAACATCCATCATGAGTTTTTTAAGCCGTTTAATAAACTCACAGATTGTGTTTTATCGGGTCTAAAACCACTCGGCTACACCTCGTGTTTTATACCCGATAAAACACTTCTGATCATTTATTAAACATTACATAGAGGACTGTCTCTCAGAAATTATAAATCAATAAGACTTTGAATCAGTTCTTTATTTAAGGGTGTCACTGACTTAGCACTTTTACACTCATAAGCTGTTTTTCCCCTTCACTGCTTCATGCATTCTTACCTACTACAGTATTCTTTTCTGCACCAAATGCACAGATACAGTGTGGATCCCCAGGGACTTGAACTCTGGAAAAACTCCATTTTGAACTAAAATACTTAGGTAGGAAACTAGCTGTAGCAAGACTAAAAAAAACCATAAAAATGCTTCAATTAATAAGAAATTGTCGTAATTTTACTTAGAGTTTCTAGTTGATTCTCTGTGTGCTCTCCTGTGAGGGGTTTTCACTGGGTTCTCAGGATTTTCTTTCTCCATCAAATAAAAAACTTCTAAATTCCAATTTGATCATGGAACAAGAGGCCTGCTTGCATGCCTGCCATTCTGTCTGTCTCTATTTCTTAAATTCTAAGCCATTATTATTAATTGCAACTATACAAGCAGTTCCCTACATTTTAAAGAAAAAAATATCTTTGTGTGAAAATAAGAAGTGTAGTTTCAATATACCTTGACTGTTTGTTTTTCTTTGGGTCCTCTACAGCAAACACATGTATTGTACCATGRTCACTTGACACACACAGAAGCTCCGAATCATGGTTAAAATTTATGCTGTAAAGAGGGGGGAAAACATAAACAAAAGTCATATACGTTATTTGCTGGCCAGGAGGTCCGGATAGGGAAAAACTGTGCCTGAGGTCTTGAATATACGGACGGAGGCCGTTGTGCCAAGGTCCATTTCCAAGACCACGGGCACAGTTTTTCCCTATCCGGACAGACTATAGAACGGTAAATAACTTTTTTTTCCCCATATTTTTTTTACTTATTTTTGTAATCGTTTTGTTTTGTTGTTTAGTGGCAAAGGATTTTGGACCGCGAGCATGGGCAGATACTTACGAAATACCGCCATCTCAAACAGCCAATCAGAATGCATGATTTTTTAGGATACTGGACCAGAAAAAAATAAGTTAATTATTTATCTCCAGCTGAAAATTTCAGTGGATATATAACTAAAACATCAATACAATTTCAAATAAATTCAAGGTGGCAGAAATCTAAACTAGTCTACAAAACACACAGTAATCTGCAATGAACACAATATAAATTTGGAATTGCATTTATTTTTCACCATTTACAGTATATATATTCTTCCAATAACCATTCCATGTGTTGACAAGGATGTAAAATGTTTTTGTATTCCATGGACCTTAATTTGTTCAGGGACATTGGTCCCAATCAATAAATTCTAGTCAAACCAAACAGTTTTTTTGACTATGATCAACAATATAATGTATGATAAAAAAGATACTGTATACCGTAATTCACAATAAGGCACACAGTATTTGATAGCTTCATACCAGTAAATGTTTGCACTTCCAGATCCTCTTCTTAATTCATGRAGCTGTACTCCATTGCTTGTATCGAAGACCCTTATGAGAGTCCCCTGAAACACGACATTTGCATAGATGTTACAAGAACCATAGCAAACCTAGTATGTTCCTGTATTTTAAAAATATACGAGGCACTGCTGCTTTTGACAAATTCTAAAATTTGAACATTCTACAAAATGGTTTTTGGCTATAGCAAACAATCTGGACAGTAAAATAGTGGTTGATAAGCTGTCAGCCAACCACATACCATT